GACTTGTGGATTTCAACTCCCAGAATTCTCCAGCCAGCAGAGCTGGCTGGAGAATTCTGGGAGTTGAAATCCACAAGTCTTAAAGTTGCCAAGTTTGGGAACCACTGCTTTAAATTATTCACAGCCCTATTTTTATTGTCTGTCTCCTCTTCAATCTGACAATTTTAAGGTCCATGACTCCAGCATCTTTCATGAGGTTCTGTTGTGCTTTCCGATTACTTTCAGGAGCCAAGCTAATACACATAGGAAAACTATCAGCAAAACACAAGATCCTAATACATTTGGAAGTGTTTTTTTCTTTCAATGCCACTAGATTTATGGATATCCAGTACTCAGCTGCCCCCTCTGGTAGGAAACAGAATTGTCAAATTAGTACAAAATGTAATATTTGTATTTCATTCCTGTGTACTCGGCTGGAAATATTTTGCGCTAGCATTTAAAATATCCTAAGAATTGAATATAGGAATGCATGAATTTAACAAGAGGGAAAAACATTTTAGAGGTTGATTAATGAAACTGCGAACCTAATCTGTCTCTCGCTATCCTCTATACGGACACAAACTCACAAATAACAAATGTGCAACTACAGCAAATGAAAGTAAGTTACAATTTACTGTCTGTAGTATTTGACCCTAACACAGGGTGCTATGTATGTACTATATATGTCTCTGTGCTCATTCTCTCTCCCTCTCTCTCCTTCTCTCTCTCTCTTTCTCTCTCTCCCTCTCTCTTTTGCTCTCCCTCCCTCTCTCTCTCTCCCTTCTCTCTCTCAACTATCTATTTATATCGAAGCAAAAAGGAGATAGCTATAGATTTCCACACCTTACAGTCATATATTTTTCACTTAAAATATTATGCTATTAAAAGCTTATTTTTTCCATTAAGCTTTTAATAGCACAATACAATTATCTGGAATATATTTTTCTTGGGATTTTTTTCTATTTCTTTCACCCTCTTTTATTGTTTTAATTATTTTATGCGTATATGTGTATTCTCTGACTGAAGGGGCAAGGAAAAGGTTACAAAATTAATAAACACATAAATAGATCAACGATATATCATCAGGTCTGTTCTACGCCACAGTTCTAATGCACCAGGTCACTTGGAATATAATGTGTAGTGAAAGAATCTCATTAAGCTAAAATGAATGTAAAATGTGTCAATTTGATCCAAATGAGAACTGTAGTAAAACCATGTTTGAAGTTCATGTGCAATAAATCTTTAACATTTGTCTGTAAAGTATTAGAGAATCCACAGGGAAATCTGCATTTGTGATAGCTTGCACATTTTCAATGATTTTCCTCTAATCTTTTGTTGACATTTAAAGCACATGGAAAAAAAAGGATGTAACATCTTTAAAATGTGTATTAGTATGTACCAAACACAATATAGGTACTTATTCCACCTTTCTTGTATTTGGGGAACCTTATAATCAAATCTTATTCAACCTGATTATAAAGAGATAATATTTGTTTTGGGATAAAAGTTAGTTTATCAAAACAAATCAAAAGTACAGTTTTCAAAAAGTTTGATGGCCATTATTTGTCAATTTATTCCTATCCCAATATTTCATTTTAATTTTCTTTCTGAAATAGTATTTGTTTATTTACAATATCCATTAATTAATGAATAAAAATGACTGAAATAATTATTTAGTGGGGTAATTTGCAACTTCACCCCTTATTTTTAAAACTATGCAAAGTACAAAAATCTGAAATATCTGAAAAAGCCATGTCTTTTTCTTTTTTAATAATTTTTATTTATTTATTTATTTATTTTCAAAACAAANCACTTGTCTGAAATATTATAGGTTCTCCTTCTTGGGCAGGGGGCTGGACTAGAAAACCTCCAAGGTCTCCTCCAGCTCTATTCTAATTCTAATTTTGTTTTGATGATTAAAATCTATAAACGCTGAACAGATATGTCTTTTGCTCTTTGATTTCAGAAAAAGAAAGAGTTTTGTTAGGAAAACTGTGACCCAAAAAGTTAATCTTCTCTTTCTGATCCATTTAGGTCCAGGTTCTTTTCAATGATTATAAATGAGAGCCAGAAATCTAATAATGGATATCTTGTTTTTGTATTTTTTAAAGTGGTAGCCATGGTAGCTTTTTCAGCAAAAAAAAACTGGACAAAGAATCTTGTGGAACTTAAGGATTGACCACTTTATTGTTACTCCATCCAATACATTGTGTTTGTGTTTGTGTTTGTTCCATGAAGGTTTAAACAGTAAAAAAAGGGTTAATCTTTAAGAAACCATAAGACTGTCAATTTACATTTGATGTTAATTTGATGTTAAATGGTACAACCAATTTACAACCAATGGTAATTAGAAGAGCATTATCAAGATTTGTGATTGATAAACATTGTTTTAGAAATCAGGGATTTTAAGTAGCCATAAAGAAAAGTAGTGTTTTTAATTCAGTCATTTAAAAAAAACATATTTGATTGTAAACTCTACTACATTTAAGTTTATGTCTGCATACTGTTGAAAATTGCTATTAAAACCATGCAAAATTTCTGATTGGCGAGTGACACTTTCTTATATTAAAAAATTGGGCATATTGCACAAAACAATTGTTACTGCTAAGATGTCATTTTTTTCAGATCTTAAATTACTATAGATACTTAAAACTTCATTTTGGCATTTCATCTTTCTTTGAACATCCAGATAGAACTCCAAATATACCTTTTCCCCCAATCATCTTTTCTGCAATGAACACGGTTAATAATCTTCCAAAATTACTTCATACAAGCACAGAACCTCTCTGTTGTTCATTAAAGCAGCTCAATCTTTTTTCAAATTTCACAGGGCCTGGGGGGAGGGAGGAAAGTGTCAGTTTTAAGAGTCACATTAACTTTACTGAAACATATATAGTACTAATGGTCAACACTGGTTTAGATTTGATCCCCACACTTTAAATGAATGTCGGGAGAACTTCACAACTAGCTTTCAGAATTTTAGTTCTGTCTTTCTTCATTCTCTAAATCCAGTATTTGGAATACCCTTTAGAGGAATGCATTTAGGTATTCACTGGTCTACCCACTCCAAACTTTATTACCAGATAATTAGATGATTACAATGCCCACTGCATGATACCATCCTTGAAAACCATTAGAACAGTACTGCATCCCAGTACACTTCAGAGTGCAATTCAAGAGGTTCATTGTCACCTTTAAAGTGATGTATTATATCTATCTATGTGTAGTCTACAATAGGTATCTGTTCTGAACCCCCTCCTTTGTTCTTTCAAAGACGACAGGCAGACAGACTTAAAAGGAAATAACTTTATCAGCCCTCGGCTCANCACACACACACACACACACACACACACACACACACACACACACACACACACACACACACACACACTATTTTACATTAAAAACTTGGCTATTATTGAGGAATAGAATGAGATATTAAGAAAATAGTAGCTGTTGAAAGAGGACATTTATGAATAGAGCTGTAACAGAATAATTATTAGGTGGAACACATTGAAAGCATATAAGTTCAAAGCTGCAAGACAAATGTAATTATTCTTTTCTCCATCACATTAACTGATCATTCCCATATCTGCATCGCCCCCCCCAAAAAAATAACTCTTAAAAAAATCAAACATATAAGGGAAGCTACATCAAATGAAGTAACTACAAATACATATGCAATAATGAAAGTAATGAAAGTGCTATCTTACCAGGCAAAATCACAAGGTAACTCCTAATGTTAACAAAAATGAACTTTAAATTAAAATTGTGTGCCAAAAACACTTATAGGCAGCAACAGCTGGTAATTTTTTTGTTACTAATCTACAGGCTGTTACCACTGACCAGCAAAACTAAACAGAATGGGGATCTTCTCTCTTTTGGCAGAACTTGAAGGTGATTATAAAGGCATAAAGTTAATTTGCAAGCACAGTAAGATATCTAACTGTTCGACAGCTAGCCAACAACTTTCATTGGGAAATGTTACATCATGGGCCAATGTGGATAATGCAGCCTATTGGTGGTGTGCCCAACAAAATGCATGCTATCATGTTTTGTTGTGACCATTCTAAAATATGAGCTAATTGATGTATTAGTTTAAATAACAGGGGGAAAATGTGCATTTATAAATCATGGAAGCTATTTAGGTTTTTTTTTTCTTCTTACAAACTTGGTCAAGCACTTGCATAGTTGAAGAAAGTTTTGAGGTTTTTTGCACAGGTACGGTATATATCATATGTATCTTATTTGTCTATATGTTATACATTTAATAGTTTGTAAACACTATTTTCTATCCTATAATCTGGACAGCATGGGTTGTACAGGTACTTACAACCATAGCTGAGCCCAAAATGTATGTTGTTAGGTGAGTTTTTCCCATTTTATGACTTTTCTTGCCACATCTCTGCAGTTGTTAAATTAGTAACGAGGCTGTTAAGTGAATCTGGTTTCCTCATTGACTTTGCTGATCAGAAGACAATCACATGACTGTGACCTTGCAACCCTCATAAATGTGAGTCGGTTATCAATCATCCAAATGTAAATCACATGACCATGGGGATGCTGCAACGGTGTAAAAAATGGTCATGTCACTTTTTTCAGTGATGTTGTAACTTTGAACGGTCACTAAATGAACTGTTGTAAGTCGAAGACTACCTATACATCTAAGTTATAAATTAATAGAAAAAGCTTCCCAGAATGTACTATATTAAACAGTATGATCTTTATGATCTGACACAAGTTTCTATTTCCATGAGTAATTGCCTCAATCTGTACAGGACACACTGTGAAACACACTTTCATAACTTACAATACCCATTTACAAATGGCTGATAAGACACAGGAAACTGTATTATATTACAAAAGATTATTCACTACATTAATATTATTCATATTGGACTGAAATGAGTCATTAATCTACATAGAACTAGCCAATGAAGCAGGAAATCGTATTGTGTAGTGCTCCCACCTGCTCTTCTAACTCAAAATAAATTCATTAGTTAAGAGCTGATTGTGCAATGTAACTTTCAGAACAACTTCACACAGAGAAATACAATTGGACGTCTATACACATATCTGTAAAATAAGTAATATGTATAAGAATTATATACAGCTTTTGAACATATTGAAGCTTATTTTTTCATGCATGTCTTTCATGGATCTGTAGGAATGCATTTTGTCTCTTTGTTTATTGTGATGACTTCATTACTTAGTTCAACCAAAGTTTAATCAACAAGATTAGTTTTTTCTTTGCACATTCATAAATGCTATAAAGTGTTAGTCAATCAGGTATACAGCAGTTATTTCTAAATCACTGAATTCAACAGAATCTGGTGCCAGATTGATATACACAGACAGTAGCATTAGGCACTCTGGGAACAGAATTTGGTAAAAGAAATCTCATTACTGTGTCCTTTATAGCCTTCAGCCAAGGAATCTGTAACTTAATAGTCTACTTTAGATGGCAAAGCAGCCTGGATGATACCCATCTGACAGTTTCTTCTGTTAATTAATTCTTAATTCTTATGACTGCAAAAGTATATCTTAGCCCTTCAGTAGAATGTAAACTCAGGCAAAGTTATCTTTCTGAAATTTGAACATGGACATTTTTTAATTGCTGTTTTATTATAAACATCTCAAGGAGATGTTTTTTTTACAATTGCTGTATATTTGTAAACATGTTTATAATGGAGAGATGTACTTTCAGACTTGCAAGATTAATGTCAGCCCTTAAAATTAATCCAACCAAAAGCACCAGCGAGTGCTAACCCGACCTTTATCATAAGTTTGCAGTAACAGAATCTTGCACATCTGAAACTACCCCTTGCCTTTAACTCCAAGATACTAAGGAGACTTTCTGAGATGTTTGCCATGCCCCCATTCCTCTTTGGACTAATGTGACCAATGCCTAGTCTCCCCTTCAACTTCCTGTCTATCAAAAAAAAATATCTTACAGACCATTATATTGCTGGCTGCCTTGATGTTCAGCAAACCACCTTTCTTGGATGACTGGGCTAGGGTTGGAAATTTCTCAGCTAATATGGTTGAAGAATTTCAATTTCCAGACATGGGGTTGTTAGGGGTTTGCCATAGTTTCCCCAACCTTATGGCCTTTTAGGTAGAATATAGAATAACAGAGTTGGAAGGGACCTTGGAGGGCTTCTAGTCCAACCNGTGGCCACAGTGAGTTGTCCATGGTGAGTTATCCATGGTTAGTTGTCCATAGCGAGTTGTCCATGGTGACCATAGTGAGTTGGCTTGACAAGTTATGCCATTCCGATTTTCCAGCTCTTCCTTGGAAGTCCTAGAAATCAGACCTGGGTCCTCTGTCTACTCAACAAGCGCTCAATGGTCCTTCCTACAGAGGATTCACAGGCTTGCTCTTGTGACCACTGAAATGGGACTCAGCTCCTGCCACGTTGGTCCATGCTTATGACCATCTAGTCCTTCTGCTAATCCAGAGAGAGAGGCATGGCTCACTGATGTCTTTTCTTTTGCAGTGTGGCTCACCTCTATTGGACAATGGATACTCAACGAAGTTCCTGCTGGGGAAGCCATTGGATTGGATCCCTTCCTCTTTTCTATCGGTATGAAGCATCTCTGGAGTTTCTTGGGCATGTCAGGGCAGGCTCAAGAAGCAGATGGCTGGTCCACCAAGGAAGATGAGGCTACCTCTCAGCCCTGCATTAGCAGCTTGCACTGAAATGCTGAAATGCCAGCTGTTGTGACTTCCCTCATCTCCCATTACATTCCCCTGGCTGACAGCTGTTCTGCTCTGATGTTTCAAGATCTCCCCTTCTCATTGTCTTTCCCTAGACAGTTGGTACAGCTATCAACAGATCCTCGAAGGTGCAAATAGGAACTTGAGTTTCCCTGAAGTTAACCTGGTGGACCTCGTGTGGGGCAGTGAGCGGCTTCCTCCACCTACCAACACAATCTATCGACTCGCCGATGACTTCGTTGGTAGGTTTGGGGCACAAAGAAAGTGCCAAGTTGAAATTGGTGGGGAGGTTGGGCCATTTTGCCCGGAGACAAAGGATGTTTGTAGTGCAATATTTGTCAGGCCCTAAGGATCGGGAACATTCATTAAGTTGGGGTACAGAAGATTTATTCAAATCTATTTTTCTATTATTTATACCATTTTTGGACTGTTATAATTTATATATATTTTATAATTATCTGTTCAAATTTATTCAGATCAAGAGTCTAGTCAACTAAAGTTCAGCAATAAATTGGAGGCAGATAAGGGTCAACAAAATTCAGAAGTTGGATTTGGGGTTGGTCTTGGATCATTTGTGGCAATGTAAGGATTCTAAGCTAATGACACATTTAACTCCACCACCACCACCACCACCACCCTGATCAGCTCTGTCTGCTCTTCTCTTGCAACATTTCTGGAACAGTTCAATTTGAGAAAAGCGGTCTTAGGGCAATCCCCCTCACCTTAAATTGGCTGCCTATCAATTCTGCTGTTTAATAGCACGGCTGGCCATAAGAAAAAGGTATTGTTTTTCTTGCTCTCTTGGATGCTGTTTTATAGTGAAGGCCAGGAAATTGGCATTTCCATCAGCCAGACCTCCCATTCCCATGATCTTTTCTTCCTTTAGGAAGTACCTGGCAAGAGAAGGTTGCCCACGCTCGGTCGCAGATGGAGCAACACAGCAAGAAACCCACAGCAATCTTGCTCTCTGGCCTTGAGGAGACGGCATGTAAGTTGGTTAATATTTAACAGGCTTCTATTTATATCTTTCTCTCCTAGATCCCTCTCCATCTATCTATCTATCTATCTATCTATCTATCTATCTATCTATCTATCTATCTATCTATCTATCTATCTATCTATC